ACACATCATGCTGGTCTTAATTCATCATTGTTCCCACAATGATAACTGACCAGGGAGTTTAAAATCATCTGCAATGATTCAAGGATATTTACTGTAATATAACAAACATGCTAATCATATAACGGGAAAAGTAATGCATTCATCAACCAATGAATCAATAAATAGTCAAAATGTCATATCACGGATCATCGTAGAGCATTACAACCAACAATTCTTCCACCCTGGATTGTACGTATTCGAGTAGGAGTTATTGGCCACGTAGTTCACACCTTCAACTCTCTCATCCAACGCGTACATTAGCATCAAATGCTTGGTCTTAGAGGGTCGGTTGGAATCTTCGAGCTTAGCATTGAGGACACCCAATTGTTCAAGAACCATCTGTATGGTCTGATCATTGCATTACCTTGGCGGATCTCTAGAGTACTCGTTCGGGGCGTCTTCTTCTTGGGCCATCATCTCAATATGATCTTCTAGCTCAGCGAATGACTTGTTTTAGATGCTCCCACCACACGAAGCTCGGATCAAAGTCTTGGTATCCATTCTGAGTCTTCGGAAGAAGGTGTTGATCAAGTAGTTCTTGTCAAGCCCGTGATGAGGGCAAGACTTCTGATATCCTTTGTACCTCTTCCAAGTTTTATAAAGGCTTTCCCCATGATCCTGCTTGAATGAATGAATGCCAGAAAGAGCTGCTTGAGTGCGGTGAGCTGGGAAATTTTTTGACATAAACTGCACTTCCAGCTGTTCCCAGGTGTGGATGGAATCAGGTGTCAGATCGTAGCACCATTCCAAAGCAGCATCCAAGAGAGTCCAGGGAAAAGCAATCAGTCTGAGTGTATTCTCTGTCACCCTGTTATCTCTCTTGATAGAACGACACATCATCTTAAAGCGAGTTAGATTTGCGTTCGGATCTTCGTTCGGCCTACCTCGGAAAGCATTATTGCCCAACATCTGAATAGTAGACGGGTTCAGCTCAAAACTAGACATGTCGATGGTCGGTAGTCGAATACCAGCCAAAAGTTCAATGTGCTTAGGCGTGTTGTACTGGGCAAAGGTTGAGTTAGCATTGTCCTCGTCACCATCGGGAAGAGAGAAGTCTCAGTCGTTCTCCATTTGTCTTCGTTGACGTCGTATGTAGGGGTGGGCACGGGCGGGTACCCGGACTTTTCAGGATGTCTTTATCTCGATCTCAGTCTCGTCGGGTTTTTGATTGGAATGTCTCGATCTCTATCTCGCGAGACCCGGGTACCCGAATCTCGGATACCCGAGACACGAGTTCGGGTACACGCGAGACCCGAACCCGAACTCGTGCAAAATTAAAAAAAAAATCTGAACAATTTTACAAAATTAATACACCAAATAACATAAAATTCAACATCTAAATATATCCAAAATACCTCATAATAATTATAAGTTGAATAAAATCCAAAATACATCATGATTCATAAATTCAACAACATAAAAAAAACATCAATTTCACAAGTTCCACAACGTCCAAAACATATCCAAAATCCATCATGATTCTTGAACACATATGAGGAACATACCTACACAAACACAAAAAAATACATATGTAAATTAGAATGAAAAACATGTTAGAACCAAAAATCAATAACAAAAAATATTGAAACACATATTGAAATACCTCATCATTCGGTTAAATAACCCGCTTCTTTCTCAAATGTAGGCTTTGATGGAAAATCTGTAAAATTAAATATTTAGTTAGACTATTGAGTATGCAAAATCTAACATATACGAACAATCAAGTAATAAAAAATATACCTTCTTCAAAGGTAGAGAGATCATCCAACATTGTTTGTATAGTGACCGGTGTCGTATAATCCTTTCGAATCCAATCTTGTGTACAAATGAGCGCTTCAACAAGTCGAGTACTTAAAGAGCTACGGTATGGATCTATAACACGACCACCTGTACTAAAAGCAGAATCGGAAGCAACGGTTGATACCGGTATAGCCAACACATCTCTTGCCATATCAGAAAGAATGGGATATTTGGAACCGGTATTTTTCCACCAATAAAGAATATCCAAATCTTTGTTCTCTTCATTCTCGGGAACATCCTCCAAATAGGCTTCTAACTCATTCTTTTTGGAGGTGTGCCCAGTGTCTCTATAATTCCTAAACATCTTAAGCAAATAAGCATATGATGTACGCTTTGTCACTTCAGAACTAGTCCCACTTGATGTCACTTCTGAGTCCACTTGGCTACTACTTCACGATTGAGTTTCAACAAATCTATTTGACTTGTAATATTCAAACAGATTTTCCAAGGCTGACTTCACTTTCCCAATCATCTCACTGGCCTTATCTTCGTCGTTGTAGATCTCCTTAATCATAAAATTGACATATGTCAACTTGAATCGTGGATCAACCACAGTTGCGATGAAAATGATCACATTGATGTCATCTGACAACCAATATTTGTCAAATTTCTTTTTCATCCTCTCAGCCATAGATCGTTTAAATGGATCATCACAATCCATAACCTGTTGAATCTTCCATCCTACAGCAAAAATTTCCTTCATATACTCATTCCCCGTGACATATCGTGTACCAGACACCTTCAAAGTAGCTTCGTAAAAACATTCAAGGATTGGTAATAAGGATTCTACATAATCCCAATCAATAGCCGTTGGAGGACCAAATCCATTTTTCCTCAAATCAGCAACATACTTATCATCCATAGAAGCAAGCATATCAAATCCCGACCTAAGTTTTATAGCCGACTCCAACATCAGATATGTAGAATTCCACCGAGTTTCAACGTCTAAACAGACACCACATTTAGTGGACAACTTTTTGCGAATTAAACATTCCTTGAACTTGTCTGCTCTACTTGTCGAGGATCTAACATAACGAACAGCACCTCGAATTCTAAATATAGACTCATGTATCTCAGACAAACCATCTCTAACAATCAAACCCAAAATATGAGCCCCACACCTCATATGCAAGAAATCCCCATCAAGTATGCTTGATCCACTTTTTTTAAACTGTCTCTGCAAATATTTGATTCCCACATCATTTGAACTTGCATTATCAACCGTCACTGTCAAAACTCTTTCAATTCCCCATTGAACTAAACAATGCTCAACAAACTTTCCTATGGTTTCACCCGCATGATTAGGGATAGGACAAAAGTTTATGATCTTTTTCCTCAACTTCCAATCAACATCAATATAATGAGCTGTCAAACTCATATAATTGATGTTTTGGACAGATGTCCAAGTATCCGTCGTTAGAGAAACACTTCCTTTGAATCCCTTGAAAAACTTATGCAACTTCATCCTCTCTTCGAGAAACAAATTCATGCAGTCTCTTACAATCGTTCTACGTGAGGGATAATAAAACGGGGCTGGACAATCCTCATAAATAAGATGAATCCCTCCTTTTCAACAAACCTAAATGGCAACTCATCTATAATGATCATCATCACTAAGGCTCTTCGGGATTCTTCCTGATCAAATGTCATAAAAGATGGAATTCCTACTGAAGAGTCACTTTTTGACTCATGAAACAATGTCGTTTGCTTCAATCTCTTACTAGCTCTTTGATCCTCACTCTCATCATCACGGGGAGCCTTTTTACATATCCTCAAGTGCTTAAGCATTGCACTAGTTGATGTACCCGCTACAGTCATGCAACTAATTGATGTTTGACAATAATTGCAAACAGCTCTTTTACCATCCGGGTTTCTTTTATAGTGGTTCCATGCATCAGACTTAATTTTAGGTACCTTAATGTCAGCACCCGAAGGCTCCGGTTCAGCTGCTTGAAGAGCCATAGAATCCTGAGGTATATTTGCTTGGGACATCGCAATATTTTCCTCTGAATTTGAATGTTCTGCCGTAGAAGACATAAATCTGCAAACACATACATATGTTTATTGTTAAAAAAAATTAACATAAAAAAATCATCTAAAACACTTAGGAACAGAGAGACCGAGAGCAGCCGAGATGCTCGCCGCCGAACAGAGATGTTGGTTCGGTTCTTCACCAAGAGCTCAGCCGAGAGAGAGAGACCGAGAGCTCAACCGAGAGACCGAAACCGAGAGCTCAACCGAGAGACCGAAACCGAGAGCTCAGCCGAGAGAGAGAGACCGAGAGCTCAGCCGAGAGAGAGAGAGACCGAGACTGAGAGCTCAGCCGAGAGAGAGAGAGACCGAGACCGAGAGCTCAGCCGAGAGAGAGAGAGACCGAGAGCTCAGCCGAGAGAGAGAGAGATCGAGACTGAGAGCTCAGCCGAGAGAGAGAGACACCGAGACCGAGACCGAGAGCTCAGCCGAGAGAGAGAGAGACCGAGAGCTCAGCCGAGAGAGAGAGAGATCGAGACTGAGAGCTCAGCCGAGAGAGAGAGAGACCGAGACCGATACCGAGAGCACGGCAGCACGCCGAGAGAGAGAGAGAGAGAGGCTCGCGAATCGCGATGGAGAGGGAGAAGCTCTTACCGAGAGAGAGGCTCGCGACGCGGATGAACCAGAGGGCCGACGCCGAGAGAGAGAGAGAGAGAGGGGCTCGCGAGTCGCGACGGAGAGGCGAGAGGAGAGAGACCCGGTGGCGGGCGTGAGAGAGAGACGACTGCGAGTCTGCGAGCAACGTGAGAGAGATGAGGGAAGAGTAATTAGGGTTAGGGTTGTTTAGAAATAGATAGTTTTGTAAATATATTAAACATAAGGGGTATTTTTGTAATTTTTTATATTTTCGGGTACCCGTGAGATAACCCGTGTAGAAATATCAAAACCCGAACCCGAAACCCGAAACTCGGGTTTCATGAGATAAAAACCCGGCATGTATCTCGTTATCTTGTAAAATCATATAAACCGGGTACCCGCGAGATAGGGTACCCGAAAACCCGCGGGTCTCGGGTAAAAATGCCCACCCCTAGTCGTATGTATCTAACGGTCCTTTCGAGCGACTAGATCTGATGTCCCAGCACTCCTGGCCATGCACTAGAAAAGCATGTGCACCAAACGAAAAACAACAACAAACGAAGAAAACGTGAGAAATCACTGAAGAAAAAGAAAAACAAAAAGATCCAGAATACATAGGATCTAATCCTGTCGCCTAAATTGTCCCCAGCAACGGCGCCAAAAACTTGATGTCGCAAATCTAGGTGCAGAAATATGAATCAAGTGATAATTAACTTAGACTCAACAAATACCGCAAGTGTACGGATCGTAGGTAGTCGCTAGGGTCGAACACAGGGACAAGTAGACAACTGAATCAAATCTAAATATAAGTCTAAATCCAGATAAAATAATGTGGATGTGGGAATGTAGCAAAACAAACGACAAAACGGCTGTAAACTATGAATGATGAACACTGCACGCTTCGGGATTGCTTTACATGCAAGGATCTTTCAAAAGATGTAAACTTAGTGGTTTATCTATCCAATCCAGGGAATTCAAGCTCTAAGGTAGAGATTAACTCTTCCAAGTCTAATCTCACTATCCAGGTTTAATCCTACTAATCTTCCGATTCAATAGTCTAAAACTCTGGATGCATGAACGAATGCTATCATAATTCCTAGGCAAATACCCATCTCCCGATGTGATACGTGTTCTATTTATTGAATTAGTTCAAGGTTAGAATCTCATATGTCTATGTGAATTAAAACCCTAAGTTCATTCAATCAAGTGGCCAACGAGATCAAAAGCATTAAGAACAATTCAATAAACTGAATGGAATAAATAAATCCAAAAGTCTGGAAATAAAAACCAAAGATCCTTACATAACAAATCCCTAACCTACAGCTATGGGACTACTCGCTAAACATCGAGATATCAGGGTTCATATCAATAACATAAAACATCTTAAAATAGAAGAAAGGAAGAATGCTTAGTCGATTTCCCGGCTTCGTAATCTCCGTCTTCTACTTCGATCTCTTGCCTCTTGATAATCTCCCTCTTCTTATGTTCTCTAGGGTGTGTTTTTTGTGAAAAGTCTAAATGTTTTCGACCTTGGGGGCTAACCCTACTTAATCCTTCTTTTTTTTGGCTAAAATTCGGAATATTTTCAAAATCTGGTAAGTGACCCGATCGTGTGACTGAAAGTGACACGATCGTGTTACTTAACAGTTTTGGCGGGCTTCACAAATTTGCTCATAACTCCCTGCTCTGACATCGGATTTGGGTGATCTTGGCGTCTATGCGTAGATATCGAAGAGAGCTTTCTGATGTAGGGAATGCATGATTTGGACTTGTAGAGTGAAAGTTATTGGACTTGCAAGTTTCTGATGTTTTCTGAGCTTCACATTTTCCCTGGAGAACCTCCAAATATTCATGGTTTGTCCGTGATGTTCCGTATTCCATGCTTTCCACTCCTTTTGCTCTCTTTATGTGTGGATTCCTGTATAAACACCAAAGAACACAACCAACCAATATCGACGCCAAATGTGCTCTAGAATGTCTACAAATATATAAAATCGAGTGAAATACGCTAGACATCATATATCAAAACATCACCCGAAATACGTGTTATCATGTTACATGGATCTACTTGTTGAAAAATAAAAGTGATGTCCTTGCTAAATTTTGTCAGTTTCTTTCTTATATCGAGACTCAATATGATGCCAAACTCAAATCTATCCGATATGATAATGCCTCGGAATTATCCTTTGATACCTTGTTAACTGACCGTGGCATTCATCACTATCGGTCTTGCCCTTATACACCACAACAAAACTCGGTTGTGGAGCATAAGCATCAACACATCCTTAATGTTGCTTGGTCTTTGCTTTTTCAATCACAAATCCCTCTTGTTTATTGGGGCGATTGCATTCAGACTGTCGTCTACTTGATTAATCGGATTCCTACCCCTTCACTCAACAATCTGTCCCCTTTTGAAGTTCTTACCAAGACTAAACCCCTTTATTCTCATTTACGGGTCTTCGACTGTCTTTGCTATGTCTCTACCATCAGTAAGGACAGATACAAATTCTCTCCCCGTGCTCACCTCATGTGTTTCTTGGATATCCATTGGGTGTTAAGGGATATAAAGTCTTGGATTTGTCCACTAATGTGGTTCTGATCTATCGCAATGTTCACTTTCTTGAATTTGTCTTTCCTTTTGCTCATATTCCTATCTCCTCTCAGACTTTGAGATCCTTTCCTTCTTCACCTGTTTCTCAATATATTTTATATGAGTCTGATCTTGTCCCCACTATTTCTCACATTCAGCCTTCTTCTCATCAATCAGAGTCCTCTTCTTCATCTCCTCCTGTGGTTTCTCGTTCTGTTTCCCAGGATTCTCAGGATCCCATTTCTTCTGGAGATCCTTCTGTGACAAAGGCTACTGCAGTTTCTTCGGAATCTTCTGTGGAGAACATCATAAAGTTGCAGGGTTCAACCCATCCTCCTGGTTACTTAGCCAACTACCATTGTTACTTCTTGACACATAACACCTCACCACCAGACCACTCTTCGACCCCTTATCCTATCTCTTCATTTCTGTCTTATGACAGATTAAGCTCTTCTTTTCAAGCCTTTGCCTTGTCCATTACCACAGAAACCGAGCCTCGCACTTTTAACCAAGCCGTTAAATCTGATAAATGGAAGGAAGCGATGATTCTTGAATTGGATGCTTTAACCCGTACTCAGACTTGGAAGCTCTGTTCTCTACCACCCGACAAGCGCGCAGTTGACTGTAAGTGGGTTTTTAAAATTAAACACAATGCTGATGGTTCTATCGAACGCTATAAAGCTCGATTGGTGGCTAAAGGCTACACTCAGATAGAGGGAGTCGATTATTTAGAAACATTCAGTCCTGTAGCCAAGCTTACGTCTGTCAGGGTTATCTTGGCTTTGGCTGCATTTCATAACTGGTTTCTACACCAGATGGATGTCTCGAATGCGTTTCTGAATGGTGATCTCAACGAAGAAATCTTCATGTCTCTTCCTCCTGGGTATTCTGCACTTAAGGGGGAGCATATTGAACCAGGTACAGTCTGTAAACTTTAGAAATCGCTTTACGGGCTGAAACAAGCATCGAGACAATGGAATCTGAAGTTGTCTCGTGTCTTGCTCGACAATGATTTTGTTCAGTCTCACGCTGACAACTCTCTCTTTGTTAAAACCACTGATTCATGCTTCGTTGTTGTTCTTGTGTACGTGGATGACTTGCTTCTCACTGGTAATAATGTTTCTCTGCGTTCCGATGTGAAAACTCTGTTGCGCGACAATTTCCAGCTGAAAGATCTCGGCGAGCTTCGTTTCTTCCTAGGACTTGAGGTTGCTCGATCCAAGAGAGGTATTCATGTTTGCCAGGGTAAATATATGCTAGAATTGCTGAATGATTTTGGCTTTCTGGGTTGCAAACCTTCAACGACCCCCATGGACATTCGAGAGAAGACTGCGGTTGATTCTGGTGATGAGCTCGATGATGTATCTCATTACAGACTACTCATTGGGAAACTCATTTATCTATCTCTCACTCGACCCGACATCTGTTTCGCAGTTCAGAAACTCAACCATACATGTCGAAACCTCGGATAGCTCATTCCAAGCGGCTCATCGAGTTCTTCGCTACCTCAAGGCTACTCCTTCGCAAGGTATTCTATATACTGCAGACTCGGATCTTCATTTGAGTGGTTACACAGATGTAGACTAGGCTTCGTGTCCAGAATCTCGGCGCTCCGTCACCGGCTTCTGCATTTTTCTAGTTCTTCTCTGATTTTTTGGTAATCGAAGAAGCAACAAACCGTCTCCCGAAGCAGTGCTGAATCTGAATATAGGGCTATGGCACAGATGACTTGTGAACTGTTTGGCTGGAGAGTTTGCTTCGTGATCTACTTGTCCCTGGTCCTCCTCCGGTAACTTTGTATTGCGATAGCCAGACTGCTCTCCATATTGCAAATAACCCGGACTATCACGAACGAACAAAGCATATTGAGTTGGATTGTTATTATGTTCGGAAAAAAATATCTAAAAATTTTTGAACTTGTAATTTGGTGTAATATTAATTCCTAAACTTGTAGGTGCGCCTATTTATTCCCGAACTTGCATTTTTTAATGCAATAATTCCTAAAGTTGTTTAACAGTTACAAAATCGTCCATACCGCTAATTGATCAAAACAAAGTTTAGGAATTACTGTATTAAAAAATGCAAGTTTAGGAATTAATATGTTTAAAAATACAAGTTAGGGAATAAATAAGCGCACCTACCAGTTCATTAATTAATATTATATTAAATTATAAGTTCGGGAATTTTTAGATATTTTTTCCTTATGTTCGGGATCAACTTAAGGAGATTCCTTAAACCGTTACATGTTTCTTCCGGTAATCAGGTTGCGGATGCTTTAACTAAGCCGTTGGCAGTTGATCAGTTTCGATTTTTGTTATCCAAGATGAAAATACATGATTTGTATTCTCCATTTTGAGGGGAATATCAGATTATATTTTATAGTTTTCATTCTTCCCGATCCTTCCCTGATTTGTAGAGTTCGGTTTATATTTTTCTGTTGTACCAACAGATTTGATTTTATCTTTTCGTCTCCGTATATATATGGCAATATACAGATGTCAATATATAAGGAAAAGTTTTCCAATCTCTCACGCTCTCTTCCATATTCAATATTTTTATTTTTTTATTTTTATAACTGAAATGTTTTTTTCATGACAATAATGATATGATTTTTTTGTCATGGCAATGATATATCATAAAATCGGTTAAATATTAAAATGATAATATTTTAAGAAATTATGTTAAAATAAAAAACAGAATTTTTAAAAATTGAGTTACGTACATTTGTAAATTTAGTTTGAAATAAAATGATCAAATCCGTAGGAGAGTTAATGTAAATTTTAAAATGATCAAATCCGTAGGAGAGTTAATGTAAATTTTAAATGATATTAATATTAATCTTAAATTAAACGAAAAATGTTACGTGAACCAAAAACTCATAGGAGAGTTAATGTAAATTTTAATAGTTATTTTATATTATGATACATTAGAAAGTTATTATTGTGAATGGGTAACGCCGTAGTGGTAATATTAATAAATATTTTATGCTACAATGCACTGTAAAGACATGAATTATTAATGAGATATTATCAAATATTTTACTTTTTATTGTAAAAGATACTGTAATCTTGGGTCCGTTTGGAACCTTATCAATCTCCAGTACTACTACTCTTATGATTAACCTCATTCACATGCCCAGAAAACCAAAAGTTAATAAAAAAAAAAACCCTCCTTTTTCTATACGTGGCTTACGTGTTACATAATCACTCCCAAAGTTGAAAAAGGGAAAGTGCTTTGGTTTAGGCTGGACATTTCAACTGGTTACCACATATTTACGGTTATCTGATCTCATAGATACCCAAAAAATGGATACTGGGCACTGAATGAAAACGAAAACGGATACAGTAAGAGAAAGACAAAGACCGATATGGATTTTATTTTTTCGAGACGAATACTCGTGGATACCCATAAATATATAAAAATGATTAAATATTTTTATATTTTTTAAATTATTTATTTAAATATTAGATTCTAACTTTTAAAAATTAACATATATATTTAAGTTTTTTTTATTAATCTACATATATTCAAAGCTATATAATTTGTTTATATTCTAAACATATTTTTAAATTAAATAATATAATTTTACTAAATATTTAGTTTATATTTATTTTTAAAAAATATATTTTATGGGTACGAATATCCGCAGATACCCATCTCTTAGTCACGGGGTATTCGATCAACCGATAACCGGTGTTAATGAGATAGAGAACGAGACTTTGTTTTCATAAAATACGCGAAAACGAATATCTCCAAAATCGTGGGTACCCGACCCGTGTCCAACCCTATTTTGGTTGGGATGAATCTCACTTTGCTAAATTCCACCCGTCTTTAGAAATTCTCTGTTGTTTATTGCTTCTCCGTCTTTGTATTGCCCATTAGGCACTGTAAAACAATTGTTTAATGGTTTATTATGTATATATAAGTATTAAGAATTTTTAGTATATTAAAAATGTATTATTTTTTAATATAAACATAATAATTCAATATTTATAATAAAATATGCTCTACATGATTATTATTTTTTTTGAAAAAATATCATTATTATCTAACATACTCACCATATCATGTTTATCAAAAAGAGAAAAAAATACAACAATTTTATTTTTAATAAAGATAGAAACATAAATTCTATAACTTTTTATAAGAACAAAAATACGAAATGTTATCAAATATTTATAGAAAAATATAAACAATTTAGTGGTGTTTTCGAATTACATTATTTTCATCATATATAAGTATAAAAAAATACAAATCCAATTTCAGTGTAGATATCAAGATGTAAAATTTTCTCACTCCATTGATGTTTATTTATTTAAGATTATTTTATAAAAGCCGTAATAATACAAAATTACTATTAGATAAGATATTATAAAATTAACATTAGGTAAGATGAATATATATATATATATATATATATATATATATATTTATGTGTATACATATATCTATATATGTAATTTTTATATTTTGTTTATTAATTTGAGGGTTTTTTACGTGATAATGATGATATTTTTTTACATGACAATAATATATCATCAAATCTGATAAAAAATTAATACCGTTCTACATAAATGACTAGAATGATAGTATGATCACGTGGTGATTACGTTAGTTATAACGTTAAATTAATTGTGGTTTTACCAAGTGTGATATGTAAGTTGTGACTATAATGGTGGTCAATTTGATGTCTCTCTCTCGAGGCGACTGAGAGGCGACCCCGACTAAGAACCCTAAATCCCCTTTCGTGCCCCCACCGGCCGGCCACTGTCGGCCGGAAAAATTTCTGACCCTACAAATACTCATCCATGGCCCCTCGCTTGCGTTCCTCGTCAGCTCCTCCATCTCCGGGGCTCCTTGGTCCAGCTCCATCCTTCGACACCCCTTTCTCTTTCAACCCTCCTCTCGCTACACAACCACCACCGAAAAGCCATCCACACTCCTCTCAAAATCCTTTAGCTTCTTCTCCTCCTATTTCCCGACATGTCGGCGATTTCTCTAACCCAAATTCATCAGGAAGAGCCAATGGTAGCTTTCAAGCGAAAAATCAGTCGAGCTCATGTCCCTCCACCCCGAAAGGTAAATCCCCCTCTCTTGATTCCAACTCGAGGAAGGTGACTGAGCATACGAGTTCCCTCCCGAAGGTGGCTCGGCAGGGGAACGAAATCCCACGTTCCTCAACGCTAGCTCCAAAGAATTGGAGCGAGCACCTGTTCCCGGCGTCTCGGAAGATGCAGAGATTGGATTCACCGGAGATTCAAGTTTCCGGAATTCCGCTCGTCACGATTCCAGTGGAATCTCTCGAAGAAGCTTCTAAGGAATGGCAGGATTACCTCATAGGGCAATTCTATGGCTTGCCACCTTCTATGGGACGAGTGATAGGCGCAGTTAATGGACTCTGGGCGAGGCAGGGACCGCGTGTCCGCGTGCACGATGCTGGAAACGGGACTTTTCTCTTTCGCATTCCTAGCGCAGAGGTACGGAACAAAATCCTGGCCCGAAGAATTTGGTATATAGGGCCATGCCCAATGTTTGTGTCGTTGTGGAATCCTTATCACAACCCCGATAAACCTCCTCTCCGATCGATAGCAACGTGGGTGACGCTGCATAACGTACCACACATTCTGTATAATTCGGATTGCTTAAGCAGGATAGTAACTAGTTTGGGTGAACCTCTCTACATGGACCGAGCCACTGCTTCTAAGGAGAATCTTACAGTTGCTAGGATTTATACAGAGATTCAGCTACACCGTCCGCCTCCGAAACACATTGCAGTACGACTCCCGGACAACAAAGAGCTTTCAATTGCGGTAGCTTATGATTGGTTGCCCCCAACATGTTCCCTTTGCCATGAAATAGGGCATAATCATCATCACTGTCCTGCCCATCCGCCGCCCACTCTGAAACAGCAAGTGCCCAGCTCCCCGGACCCAAGGGCCACTGAACTCCCCGAGAATTGTTTGTCTCTGCCGCAGCAGGTTGCAGAAGAACTACAGAGCGTGGTCAATGAGGTCAAGTCTATAGCTTCGACTAACCTCCAGGGTCCAAGCGCTGAACTACATCAGCGTCCCATGACCCAATCATCAACCTGTCCAAACGAGGAGGTTGCGACTCTAGCTCCCTCCCAAGCAAGTTCTGGGAAGCTTCTAGTTATTCAGCCCTCAGCCCCAACGACTAAAACAGATCAACATATGTCCCCAGCAAACCCCGGAAAGCCGCAGTCAAACCCATGTACGAGCAAGGTGCTGGGATCTAAGCAAAAGGAAGTACAAGCTAACAGTGGATCGAAGCAGAAAGGCAAGAGCCGCGGCCGCAAGGCCGTGAGAGGTCACTAAAACCCCTTTTTGGATTCTCATGATTTTTATGTGGAACGTACGTGGAATCAATAGTCGGAATAAACAGTTTTTGGTTCGCAAGTGGATACTAGATCACAAACTTTTGGTAGGAGGCCTTCTAGAGACTCATATCCTTGAGGAGAACGCATATAGAATCAGAGCCGCGATACCACCGGGCTGGAGACATCAATGTAACTACAGACATGGTCAACATGGGAGGATTTGGATTGTATGGGATCCTTCAATCATTGTTACTATCTATCAGTCTTCACTACAAGCTATCACTTGTGGTGTTCAACAATTATGCACCGGCCTTTCCTTTACGGCGACTTTTGTTTACGCGTCGAATCAGGCTACATTCAGACACGACCCATGGAGTGAGCTGGTCTGCTTAGCCTCTTACAATCCCCTAAATCAGTCGTCGTGGCTTGTATTCGGTGATTTCAATCAGGCCCTATATCTGGAGGATCGTTCTGATCTTACCAATGTGCCATCACAACGTCAAGGTCGCCAAGATTTTGCAGCTTGTGTTGAGGAGATAGGGCTACAGGATGTGCCTAGCAGTGGACCGCACTTCACATGGTGCAATAATCAGTCAGCGAATCCGTTATCAGTGAAACTCGACAGGGCAATGTGCAACGACCGTTGGTCCGAAACTTTTCCATCAGTCTATGCCGAATACTTATCCCAGGGACCTTCCGACCACGCGCCCTGTGTGCTGCGATTCCCATCAGCCGCGGCTCAGGTACGCAAACCATTCAAGTTTCAGCATCACCTTACCTTGGTGCCGGACTTTATGCAGGCTGTTAGAACTCATTGGACTTTGCATGCTTGGAGAGGCGATGACCAATTCAAACTATGTAAAGCTCTAAAACTGCTCAAGGAACCCCTAAGACAATTAAACTCAAGGAGGTTCAGAACCTGACTCAACGTGTGAAGATAGCCGGGGATAAACTAAGGTTGGTCCAAGAGACCGTCCTTCAGTCACCAGGGGCAGAGGCGATCGAACGGGAAAAGATGCTGAGGAAAGAATGGTTGATCCTAACTTTGGCCGAGGAAAAGTTATTCCGCCAGAAGTCCAGAATCAAGTGGTTACAGCTGGGAGACAAGAACACGGGGTATTTCCACAAGGTGACAAATGCCAGAAATGCCCGTAACCACATTCATTCGCTTGTTGATGAAGACGGACAGAAGCTGGAATCGGTTGACAGCATCAAAACCCATGCCGTGAACTTCTATGCAGACCTGATCGGAAAGGCAGATGAAGGGATCCGACCCCCGTCAGTGGATACCCTCCGAGCTCTTTTAAGGTACTCTTGCCCTAGTGACATTGCTGTTGAACTAACCAGAATTCCCACTCCTGGTGAAATTGAGCAGGTCCTCTTTGCTATGCCTGAAAACAAGGCACTAGGGCCGGATGGATTCCCCAAAGAATTCTTCACGGCCACCTGGGAGATTACCGGTTCAGATCTCATCAACTCTGTGATGGACTTCTTTGTCTCTGGTCGACTATTAGGGCAGGTGAACGCTACAATCATCTCCTTGATCCCAAAAAAGGCAGGCGCAACTTCTTTAACGGACTATCGGCCGATAAGTTGCTGCAATACAGTTTACAAGATCATATCCACTATTCTGGCAAAGCGGTTAAAGCATATCCTCCAAGCTATTATCTCGCCCAACCAAACTGCCTTCTTGCAGGGACGTTTGATGCTCGAGAATATTCTACTGGCCACGGATCTTATTCGCGACTACAATTGTAAGGGATAGAAGGCAAGTGCTATGATCAAAATCGACATCCGTAAAGCTTTTGACACTCTATCATGGGATTTTCTGTTGAATGTTCTCCGCGGTCTGGACTTACCACCTCGATTTGTTCACTGGATCAAGAGTTGTGTTACATCCACAAAGTTCTCCGTCAATGTCAATGGAGAACTTGTAGGGTACTTCAAAGGCCGACGTGGACTACGACAGGGGGACCCGATTTCTCCATATTTATTCATCCTTGCGATGGAGGTCCTATCTCGACAATTAGATAAGGGAGTGGCAGATGGTGTCTTCGACCATCACTCAAAGTGTCGGACACCATCTATCACTCACCTATCGTTTGCTGACGATGTGATGATCTTTTGCTCCGGGAAGCCACAATCAATCAGAGGAGCAGTGAACATACTCAACGAGTTCAGTAAAGGGTCAGGGCTGATGATGAACCAGAACAAATCAGAACTTTACCTAGGGGGTATTAGTCCTCAACAAGCAGAAACTACAGCGGCCTCTCTCGGGTTCAAGTTGGGTTCCTTCCCAGTGAGATACCTAGGAGTGCCCTTGAAGTCGACCAAACTGACAAAGGTTGACTTTGAACCGTTACTAGGGAAAATCAAAGGCAAGATTGAAGCTTGGAGCAACCGTTTTCTATCTTACGCTGGAAGGATACAACTGATTTCCACGGTGATCTATGGGATGGTGAATGCTTGGAGTTCGATATTTGCTTTGCCTCGTTTCTTCTTAAAGCAGGTGGATGGCTTATGTTCGACCTTTTTGTGGAAAGGCGGTCAACTATCATCAGGTTCATATCGTATTTCCTGGGCCTCAATCTGTCAACCGAAAAGAGAGGGTGGCTTGGGACTTCGGAGGTTGGAAGATTTCAACCTTATCTTCAGATTGAAGCTTATATGGATTATTTTCTCTAAAACAGGATCTCTTTGGGTGGCATGGGTAAAAAGGAACATTTTAAAGCGAGCTTGCTTTTGGGATTGTAAACCGAGCAACAAGATTTCTTGGATCCTTCGGAAATTATTCACGCTGAAAGAGAAAGCCAGGGAGTTCATACGAATGCAGATTGGCAATGGGAAGTCCACGTCTTTTTGGCATGACACATGGGTTGGTACATGCCCTCTTCTCTCTATTACCGGGGACATAGGGCCGAGGCACTTGCGTGTAGCCAGGGGTGCGACTGTCGCAGAAACAGCTCCTTCAGGTTGTTGGTCCTTTCCAGGCGCGCGATCCGATGAGACCCAAGAGGCTCTAATTGCTATTGCAGCCGTCGAACCCCCTTCTGCATCTGACGGTGAGGACTTCCCACTCTGGAAGCAAGCCTCAGGATTGTTTGAGAGACAGTTTTCTTCTCGGCAGACTTGGCTTCTGATCAGGCCGGCAGAGACATCGGTTGATTGGTACAGCTCTGTATGGGTTCGAGAATCGCCTCCTAGACTTAAACTTCTGATGTGGCAAGTGATGTTGCAACGTTTGCCGACAAAAGATCGCTTATCTAGATGGGGTCTCCAGGTTGACAAGGTTTGTGTCTTATGCGGATTAGCGGATGAAACATTACCGCATTTATTCTTTGATTGTCCGTATAGTTCGGCAGTGTGGGATCACTACGCCACCCGCTCCTCGACTCACCCTCCCTCTGATTTCCGTCATCTCCTTTCTTGGTTCAGAAGCCATGGTAATTCTCCTAGAAATAGGGGAACCATCTCAAAAATCCTCTGCCATATTACAGTGGATTTACTATGGAGAGAACGTAATGCTCGGATTTTCCGAGAAAAATCAAGAACAATCCAGCAGACTCGGATCCGAATAGATCGTCATATGCGTATGTTATTACTGTCAACACAGTTGGAAAACAACACGGCTCCAAAACGTCTCCTTGAAGATTGGTACTACTTAACGGAAGGTCTTAGATAACTCACTATCTCATTTTCTCGGCATTTAGGAGAAATCTTTTTACCACTTGTGTATGGGAATCCAAACCTTTGTAAATGTTTTCTGTTCTATTAGCTTCTGTAACAATTTCTGAGATTTAATACAATCACATTAAAACCAAAAAAAGTTGTGACTATAATGACTTAGTTTGATCAATATAAATTTAACGTTATAACCAATATTATCATCATGTGATCATATTATCATTCTGATCATATAGTCATATCTAAAAAATGGTATATGTATTAGTAGTTTTAGAAAAAAAAGAGGGTATTTTACATAAAAATCCATTTCAAAATTTAGATATTTATAGGAAAGTTTTTTTTAAAAGTTGATGACTTTTTTATATAAATATAAAACATATAATAGAAAATAGAAAAAAACCCAAAAAGGGAATTGGATTTAAGATAATTCTCATATTTTTACAAAACCTTTTCCACTTCCAAATTCATATTAAACTTTGCAAATTTGATAAAAAAAATTATTTAACTTTTAAATTTTGACAAGAAATTAATCGTTACAAACGTCAATAAAAAATATAACGTAACTATGATTCGACATCTTTGATCTTACCCAATAGATCATCACATAATCAAATATTTTTTTAAAATTATTGAAAACAATATAATAATAATAATAATAGAAAATTCCATAAAAAAAACTCCATAATGGATATACTTACATATATATATGTATATATTGTATGTATGTATTTATATATATGCATATATATGTTGTATGTGTGAATGTATGTATGTGTATATATATATTTGTATTATGTATATATAAATATATATATATATTATAAATTATAAATTTTATTTTTTTATTAGTATAAATTTAATAATTAGCTTATAGTTTGATACCGACTTTATTCACCACCTATACAATAAGTTTCATGTTTCTTTACTTTTTTTAAATAAATGATTTTATAATAATTTAGTCTTATAAATATATTTCCACCAAACCAAACAAAATATATTATTTTTTTATTAAATATATATCAATAAATATTATGATAAAATAATTAATAAAAAAATAATCTGCGCATCGCTCGAAAATATATCAGCCACGTCAGATCCTTCAGCCTCTCCGTTTATGATCTCCGTTTACGAACCTCAGCACATTTCCTCCAACCTATTCAATTTTTTTTCCTAACACTAGGTCAATAGTATTATTTTTTTTTAAAATATTGTTCTGTATTCAGGTGGGCTCAAACTTGGGATGTGGTAATATTAAAATTTATATTTTAAATATTATTTCAAAAATTTAAAACTACTTAACCTAATAAAAAAATAATAATAAGTATATATAATAAATCAAACTATTTTTTATTTTATAGTGAATTTTTCGTATTTCTGACATTTTTATCTTTGTTATTATGAGTACTATATCATTATATATTTTTTAAGATATTTAATTTATAGTGATATATAAATATCCCCAGAAAAGTACTAATACGTACAAATACTAAACCTATATAAATCAAAACCAAATGGGGAACATGAGGTGGGGGTTCGATCCCTCATCGTTTCTCTTCATCCGGGTAGATAACATACTCATCTGGGTTGCAGGGTAGGGGTTTCAATGTTATAAAAAAAATCAAAACCAAATAACTCTAAAAGCTTTTGGGTTTTAGTGGTGAGGGAGAGAGGGATAATTCAATGGAAGAATTTAGAGGTTCAAATAATCAGAAGCAGCTACTCTTGAAATCCTCAGACAGAATGTAGAAAAGAGCGCCAAATAGAAATAACAAGGGATAAATATGAGGCGCTTTTTTTAGAGAGAGAAAAACTCTCTCTCCCATCTCTCTAAACCTAACCACATCGAGCAAAATTTTCCACCGGCCGGCAGAACCAAAACCCAAAAATGGCCTCTTCTCTGCCTCCTCCCCCTCATTCTTCCTCCTCTCCAGACCTCTCTCTCTCTCTCCCCAAAATCCGGTGACCTTGCCTGTAATCACCGCTCCGTCAGATCCACCTCCAGATCTACGACTCGCTGCTGGTCGGGATGCTCAGATTGCCTCACCCCGAGGCTCCCCTCAGCCTCCTTCTCTTGAAAAGGCCCAGAATCTCCCCCAGATGGCTTCCCCCTCTGCCAGTGGGGGTCACCCATCACCGGTAAAATCCAACTCTCTTTCGGTCAGTAATGGCCCTACTGTTGCGCTGGAAGTTCCCCAAGCTTCCACCCTAACATGGAGTCAGAAGGTGTCAGGGTCTTTACGTTACCTGAAGAAGATTGGAGAGCCGAAGATTCACTCCTCGGGCCTCCCAATTGTTACCATCCCAGAAGAATCTCTCATTCAATCCAAGCAAGAATGGGAGCTCTTTGTTATTGGAAAGTTTTAGGGTGTTCCCCCTTCGATGGGGAGGATAATCGGCTTTGTTTACTCTTTGTGGGTACGCGGAGGACTCAAGATCCGGGTACACTCAATGGGAAACAGCTCCTTCTTATTCAAACTCCCGAACCTGTCGGTGAAGAATTATGTGCTTGCAAGAGAACTATGGCACATCGGTGACCATCCATTACTCGTCACCGAATGGGACCCTGACCACGACCCTGACAAGCCAGCACTCACGTCAGTCCGCACCTGGGTTGAGCTCAGGAATGTTCCCAAGAAGTTGTTCAATGTCGACGGCCTGAGTCGAATTGCCACATCTGTTGGCGAACCTCTGTTTCTTGACAGGGCAACCGAGGCTAAGGACAACTTTGCGGTTGCTCGAATCTTTGTTGACGTCAAGCTCCACCCTCGGCCCCCTCGTCAGATCCTCATCGATATGCCGAAGGGGGACGTGAAGAAAGTGGATATCTCTTATGCCTGGTTGCCTCCAGTATGTGACAAATGTAATGAGATTGGGCATACCACTCGACACTGCCCGTTCGTTCAATCTGATTTGGTTCCTAGCAATCACAATCCAACCTCACACAAGGGGAAAGAAGGCAACAAGGATTGTTCATCATCTGGGCAGATTCCTAAGCTAAATGAGGAGCCAACAATTACCGCCCCAAAGCCTACAGAGTTAGTAGTGCCTCCAAGCCTAACCTCGCAGGTACCTCTCCCTGAAGTGACAGTGCCAAGCCCTATTCCCCTGGAGAAGGAACTTGATATGGCGGAGCCTGTTGTGGTTGGAACACCACCAGTCCGAGAGGAAATACCAACCTCGCCAACACAACATGATGACTCAAGCAATGATTTTCAACCGGTTAAACCTAAAGGGCGAGGTAGAGGTAGGGGTCGTGGTCGCGGTCGAAAGACCGCAGTTGAGAACTAACCAAGATAAAGGATTCCATGATTTTTTGTTGGAACACTAGAGGGCTAAATAGCCAGAATAAATGCAGGGCAGTTAAGTCATGGCTGTTGGCACACAAACCTGCTATGGGTGCCCTTTTGGAGAGTCACATTCACATACGGAATGAGGCTCGTATTTTGGCTGCTCTTCCACCAGGTTGGAGACATTACTCTAACCACGCAGCAGATCCTTCTAGTCGAATCTGGGTTGTTTGGGGACCTGATATACTAGTCACTATCTACCATGCCACTGATCAAGCCATCACTTGCGGAATCGAAATACAAAGTGCTGGCCTTAGGACTATTGCAACCTTTGTTTATGCGAGGAACCTCCCCACTGCCCGTTTGCCACTATGGAATTCCATCAGGGAATTATCTGCTTACCCACCGATGAGGGACACTCCGTGGATCATGCTAGGTGACTTTAACCAGGTGTTGAGGTTGGATGAACGCTCAGACTATCCGGGTTTTCAGACGCGCTCTTCTGGCCTCTCTGATTTTTCAAGCTACCTCGAGGATGTGGAGATGTTTGATGTCTGTGGTAAGGGGAGCAGATATACTTGGTGGAACAACCAGGTGACTCATCCAGTAGCTGCAAAGCTGGATAGAGCACTAATTAACGAGGCATGGTTCAATAGATTCCCTGGGGCATTTGCTGAATTCTTAGCTCCAGGGGTCTCGGATCATTCTCCCTGCCTAATCCATCTTCACAGCCTTCAATCCAGAGTTAGGAGGCCCTTTAAATATTTTGATCACCTCTCTATTCACCCACTCTTTCCTCAGATTATCAGCGAGCATTGGTCTTTTGAGGAGCAGAACGGGTCGAGGCAATACAAATTTTGCAGTAGTCTCAAAGAGCTAAAGCACCCACTACGACGGTTAAATACGAGAAGCTTCAGCTGCCTACCTCAGAGGGTCAAAAAGGAGTCTGATAAACTTGAGAATATACAGTAAACCATCCTTAACCACCCCACTCCTACCCTGGCAGCACAAGAACATTCGGTAAGGAAGAACTTGCTTTGGCTGCAACAAGCGGAGGAGCGGTTCTTCAGGCAGAAGTCCAAGATTAATTGGCTGAAGCTTGGCGATAAGAACAACTCCTTCTTCTACAATTCAACCAGGGTACGGGCAGCTCGCAACCAGATTCGGTTCTTTATGGATGAGCATGGGAACAAAATCACTGGACCTGCAGCTATCAAAGATCATGCTGTCACTTTCTACACCTCTCTTTTGGGCTCCACTGATCTGTCGGTCCTGAGAGCACCTCGTTCCTGGTTAGAAGGATTATTCCCAACAACCTGTCCACATGATATCAAGTCCTCATTAATCCGACCGGTGACTGCGGATGAGGTTAAGGAGGTCTTCAACTCCATGGCCAGAAACAAAGCACCCGGGCCCGATGGTTTCCCCAAGGAATTCTTTATTGCTTCATGGAACATTGTTGGGGATCACTTAATTGCAGCAGTCATGGAATTCTTCAGTTCTGGGAAGCTTCTTAAAGAGTTGAATGCCACGATTATCACCCTTGTGCCAAAAATCCCCGAGGCAGCAAATCTGGGAGATTTTCGCCCCATCAGCTGTTGTAATTTCTTATATAAGGTCATCTCTAAACTCATTGCTAACCGATTGCAGCTTGTTCTACCTTGGGTGGTGTCAGGTAACCAGGCAGCTTTCATAAAGGGTAGGAATATGTCAGACCATATTATGCTAGCTTCGGAGCTTATAAGAGATTACAATAAAGCGTCTGCAACCCCAAGTGCAATGTTGAAAATTGACATAAAGAAGGCCTTTGACACAATTAGTTGGGATTTTATTCTGGATTTGCTTCAGACTATGGGCTTACCACAAGCCTTCATTGCCTGGATTAAGGAGTGTGTTACCACTCCATCTTTCTCAGTGGCGATCAATGGCGAGCTGGCGGGGTTCTTCCGAGGAAGGAGGGGACTCCGACAAGGTGATCCGTTATCCCCATACCTGTTCATCCTATCAGTTGAAGCCCTCTCAAGGTTGCTGGATAATGCCGTGTTGCAAGGCAGACTTGTTGCTCATCCGAGGTGTGACTCGCCCCTTATCTCTCATTTAGCTTTTGCTGATGATCTCATGGTGTTTGTTGAAGGTAAAAGCGACTCAATTTTGATGGTGAGGGACTTACTTCTGGAATTTGGCACATATTCGGGTTTGATCCTGAACCACAACAAGTCTGAGCTCTTCATAGGAGGAGTTTCACAACAAGATGCGCAAACTTTAAGCTCTATGGTGGGACTCAGAATTGGCCAATTGCCAGTGAGATACTTGGGAGTCCCGATAGGACCATGGAAACTACGACGGGACGATTACAAACCCCTTTTGGAAAGGGTCAAGAATAAGCTCACATCATGGACTGTTAAGTTTCTGTCATACCCTGCTCGAGTACTGCTGATCTCAACTGTCATCTATGGGATGATTAACTCATGGAGTCGAGTTTTTATGCTACCTAAGTTCTTGTTAAAAGAGATGGACAAACTTTGTTCATCATTTCTATGGAAGAACTCAGTCGAGGGGAAGAATGTAGCGAGAGTGGCATGGAACAAAGTGTGTCAGCCGAAGGAGGAGGGTGGACTGGGCATTAGGCGTCTTGAGGACTTCAGTACAATTTTCCGGCTTAAAAGCATATGGCTGATATTCAAGGAATCGGGATCGCTCTGGGTTGCTTGGCTGAAGCGACACATCTTTAAGAAGAAGGGCTTCTAGGGGGTTTCACAATCACAAGGGCATTCTTGTCATCTTCGAAAGCTTCTCGGGTTCAGGCAGCAAGCGAAAGAGTTTTTACGCTGTGTGCTGGGTAATGGGAAGCAGGCTAATTTCTGGTTCGACAATTGGACTGGTTTAGGGTCACTCATCGAGCTAACAGGTGTCAATGGACCAAAGCTGCTAAAGGTCCCATTATATGCAAAGGTGAAGGATGCAACACAAGGCACAGAATGGTTGTTTCCAGGGGCTAGGACTGCGGCCATCCAAGCGATTCAAGCCCGGATTTCGTCGATAGCTCCTCCATCATCTGAGGCTGAATGTGACAGGTATGAGTGGAAAATTTCGGATGACTGCTTTGGTAACCAGTTCTCCTCCTCTTCCACCTGGAAACTGATTCGAGTTAGATGTCCTACGGTTCGTTGGCATCGATTGGTATGGTGCAAACTAAGCACACCAAGACTGAGCTTCAACATCTGGCAAGCCTTCCTTGGCCGAGTTCCCACCTTAGATCGACTGGAAAGGTGGGGAGTCAATACTTCATCGGCTTGTGTATTTTGCCAGGTATCTCCTGAATCGCACTTTCATTTGTTCTTTGAGTGTGCCTACAGTCTGGATATTTGGCGATTCTTTGCGACGGTGTTCTACAACTCCCCACCATCATCATTGGAGGATTGTAGGGACTGGTTAGAGGGCCAATTCGATGGTGGACCATACCCCATGAAGGAAATCTGTTAGTTGGTTTTGCAAGCAGTCACGTATATAATATGGCATGAGCGGAATTCACGTATTTTTCGGAAGGAGTCATCTACGATGGCCAAGCTTAGGGTGGCAACGGACATGCTTATTAGGGATGTTCTACTATCCAATGTGGCAAGGGTTTCGGCAAGTCCCACTCTCGAAGATGTGTGGCTAACACTTACGGTCCCACTTCGATCACTACTCAGGCGCTAATCGACCAAAAACTATGTTTTAATTAGCTAAAACTACATCTTTTTAGATGGAATCCTGTATCTTAATGGTTAGTTCCACTTATTGTCCGGTTGTATATAAACAGTTTTTGAAAATCAATACATTTACCGTTATCAAAAAAAAAAAAAGAGCGCCAAATCAAGAGGTTGCGACACAAACCAAGGGGGATTTAGTGAAATGAAAACAATCCAAACTCACCAGAAGATACCCAGCGGAGCTTCCAACGAAAAGGGGAAAGAAGGATCAATAGAGTTACGATACAAAGCAAGAGAGAGAGAGAGAGAGAGAGAGAGAGAGAGAGAGAGAGAAGAGCATCAGAAACATGGAGGGAGAGAGGAGAGAGAGCTTCACATCAAAGCCCCTCTGATGAAGAGGTTCCTCCTCCCTCCACTATCAATACGGATAGAAACCGCTGCCTGGTAGCATCATCCACCCACTCAACGCTTTCCGCCCATCTCTCCTTCGCACGTATGCCTTCGAAACCCCTCTTGGCGCTCTCAGAATCCAGGGGAAGCGATTTCAGTTGGGACAGCCGGATATACCGATACTCTTGAGGTTTGGAAAAGGTAGAGTCCACGGGTAGATGCTCTTCAGCTTATATAAAGCACCCAAGCCAAGACGTTCAAGTTTTTCAAAGGGCATGATACTCGGTTGCTCATTCATAACAGCTTTCGCTTTTTCTCCGTTTATGATCTCCTCCACTTGCCACAAGGAATCGATTTCCAGAGTAACAAGATTTGGAGCAAACAACAGCCACGTCAGATCCTTCAGACTCTCGCAGCTGTATATTCTGACACGGGAGAGGGCATAGAAGCATGGAGTGGACAGACTGTCAATGGGAAGAATCGTCCTGCTTGCTAAATCTACCTTTATCTCCGATATATCAGACTCTGAAATCCAAAACCCTCGTAGACTGCCGAAAGCTACAGGGTCCAATACTAAAACTGATGTTGATGATGATTTAATTTCTAAGTCTCGAGTAATACTTGTCAAATGGCGGATGCCTAGAAACCTCCCCACAGCGTCACCATTCACACATATTGTCAAGTATGCTAAATGCTCCAGCTGTTGTATTTCCTCCAATAGTTGTAGATCGCAACTAACACCAGGCCCCATCAATCTCAGCACTTGCAGATTCCGCAAACATGATATCCTCCATCCAATACCTTCCAATTCAAGGGTCCACTCTATGTTCAAGTATGCTAGCTTACTCAGCTTTTGTAATCCAACCGGTAACTGCTTGATCCTTGTCCCAGATAAGTCGAGATACTGCAAGGAGACTAG